CCATATTTTGTATTTTGTGAGTAGCAGTTGGTTTGGTGGTATCTTTACAGTTTTCGGCCTATCCACGGTGGCACTGCTTCAAATAAAGTTCACAAATGCTATCGCCTTTCTCCAGAAAGTGAAAGCAATCCACATTTTAGACGTAGGATTAGAAAGAGGGTGCATTGCCGCGCATTACTTCAAAGTGGTATCTACTCTTTGCCTTATTTTCATCTATTTAAGGTATCAAAATTTACAGCCTTTTCTGTTTAATTTTGGCAAGTCCGCATCAGGCGATGCCTCTATCCCGTTACAAACACGTGCAACTGGTTATCTCGAATAATGCAAATATTTTTCATTCCTGCTATACAAGCACAAAAGGCGGATCTGGGAAAGATGATACATCACTTTAAATGACTATTTGATTCTTTATGGTTATCTAGTAAATGATGTATGCTCTAAAGAGAGGTTAAAATTGGCCTTTTGTTGAGATAGTAACATTGAAGTTCTCAAAGACTCTTAAAGTATTCAAGAGGCACCTTACAACTTGAAGGACCCTAAGTTATTAGAGTAACCCGTCTGCCATTCATATGAACTCGGGTTCTTGGTAAGACTACACTTTTACATTGCTATTTTGATCATTCATAGTGTCAGATAAAGTGATCACCGGCCTCCCGTGGTCCACAGACGGAAATGAGGTTCTAACAGTAGTGTGCTACATGATATAAGCTAACCATGAAGGAGGTGGAGGCTCCTTTAGTATAATAAACTCTGACTGTACTCACGGTGCATTGTTCAAATACCCCCTTGGTGGGGGCTACTTATTACTAATTCAGTAGACTACTGACTTCAATACCATGAAATTGTAACCATTTAAAGTCAATCATTATAACTGTTATAAGTTTGTTTCAATTGAAAGTGAGCTTTAAAGGTTGGAGGATTGTGACATGACTATCAAAGGGCAATAGACCATAATTATTTCCTTTATATTCTTTTAAGAGAAATTATGTGGTAATTGAATTCCCACGGGGTCTGACTTCAGCTGCTAATATATGAAAATGCATTTGGGCATCAAATAAAAGCTTTAAAAGAACTATAAGATAAATGTAGTGATATTTTGTAGACTTGGAAGCACTAGGATAATCGTGTACTGGCCATCCGCAGTAAGACACTGAAGACCGCCAAATTTCTTCAGGATGTGATACAAAGGTGCAACACGCTGTACAGATACAAAAATTAAAGGTTTCAAAAACCCTTCTATCACTCACTTAAGGTGTCTTGAATGAAGCAGTTTGTACGGCACTATTTCATTTTACAGTGTTTATCAACAAGATTGGTTAGTGCAACGTTGAATGTCAAGTCCAAGTAAAAAATGTAGTCGGTAGTGGATGTGTAGCAAATATATTAAACAAATTACTGGTCTTTTTACAGAACTAAAAGAAGAAAGAACTGGGACACCTGATACACTGTTTACAGTGCCTCTGCAGCTACCAACCCCACTACCAATCCTTCGCCAACATGTCCATCCTGTTTGTAATAGGCAAGGCGTTCGAGGCACGCAAACAAATCGTACCTGCTCATAAATACAAAAATAAATCATTTTAAAGCAATATTTGTGCATTTAAATACATCACTGATCAGGTTAATTTGATTTAGATGCAACGAATAGGTGTCAATAGGGGATTCTTGAAGCACGAAGGAATCAAGTTTCAATTCTTAATGAAGACGGAGTTACAAATTGGCCAGATGGAAGTAGACGAGAAAAAGTAATCGGTTGTGAGAAGCTATTCAATGTAAAGGTAGCAATAATGTAGGCACAGGCTTAATTTAATTGCTGAAGATAATGAATCAGATGACAATCAGTTGCCGAGGCTACGTAGTAGACTCTGATCGAGGCCTCATGCGGAATCCGGATCTGAATCAACTGGCTGAGCATCTGAAAGACAGCATTAAGTTGAATCAAGCCTACCAGAATGTATACCACAGGGTGGTGAAGAACACGCGGGACGTTCGAAAGGTGGCGAAATTCTCCAAGGCTTAAATCTTCGAGGACTGCGCTTTAGAAAGTACCCTTTGATGGAAGAGACAAACTGGTGGTGAGCTTTAAAAAAATCTACAATTTCATCACGAGTAGGAGTTGCAATAAGGTCCATCTGAAAAATGCACAATTTGTCGAAAACTTGGAATTATTTAGCTCAAAGATAAGCAATCCGCAGGAGAACCTTCAAAATACCTACAGTGATCAGTGCAATTATAGCCTGACGGTTCTCCTGAATCTGCGGCAAGCGATGAGGTTGCCCATTTCGGAGCAGGACAGTCGTTTTGGACGGCTGATCAACCAGTCATGGGATGAGGTTGATAAAATTAGTGAAAGTTACACTTGCGCTGCCGACAGTCCTCCACTCCAACACAATTTTATTCCATACTCAGATAATTAATTTTGATTTTTATCTTGGATCCAGAATTTAAGATCACTTTACTTACGCAATAGATTAAGAGTACACGCCTTTTGCGACGTATAGTGGTAGCATTCGGTAGACGAATGATGGGTTTTTTCCTCTACAGTAGGCTTACTTGCCACTTCCACCAGTGTAGAGCTAATATTATCCCTAATGACGTCCACTGGTATGAACCTCACGGAGGAGCTAGGAAACTAGTAGACTAGGTACCACGAACGAGACGTCATGCTGTCGACAAAGTAGGGGAATTGAGGGAGGATAAAAAAACCCACCTTCTGCTCCATCTTAAAGACATAATTTAAAATTGTGGAATTGTAGAATCGCATGTGTGAGCAATCACTATCTATGGATGGTGGAACTGATGTCAATCCTCCAAAAGCCATCTTTCTTCAGCTGCATTTTTACTCAAGGACCAGCGAACAATCCTCTAGTTCAATAGCTTTTATGAAGTTCTTGTCACTTACAAAATAAATAACTTTCAGGTCTTAAAAAATCTGCAAGTCTTTGATCCATTCATCCATCCTCTATCCATCAATCCATCCACCCTGTATCTATCCATCCATCCATCCTGTATCATTCATCCATCCACCCATCTGTCCTTCCTGTATCCATCCATCTATCCATCCTGTATAAATCCATCCATCTATCTTGTATCCATCCATCCACCAGCAGACAATGTGGAGACTAATTTATATGTCACTGTGAAGGATTAAATTTTCCTATCAAGAAATGGTTAACGCCTGCAAAAATAAGCTTTTGTAAAATACGCTTCGCGACTGCTTTCGCGTGGAGTGAATGATTCCGTCAAACCTAGAGAAGCTTTGTGTGGTTCACATCCACCGTTTAAACGAGGCTCTGGCACTGCTACTCTACATTCACGACTGATCTAGCTCGCTCTTTGACAAGTGGATTAAGGTGAGTTTAGTCGGAGTCTTCACGTCTCTCAAGTGCCGCTTATAGAGCGCAGTGGAATGCTTCGTAGGATGATATATAAAGATGAAGGCATTGATTAGTACTTTGGAATAGGTTAAGCAGAAAGTCTCTTGTACCCTAACGTAATCAATGAAAGAGGCAACTGTTACCGATCTCTTTCCACCAGTCAAGCTGGTTGACGATTAACCATGAAATTGACTTCACTGCTAATCATCCAAGCGGGTTTGGGTTAAAATTCACGATAAAATTTGGCATTTTACAAACAAACATAAGCACGAAGGAGATAATTGTCACTGTAGTGGCTTACGTACCTAATTATCAATCTGGGCTACCAAAGGGAGGAAAGGCCTTTCCGTGACGCTCGTTCACTATGTTAGTAAAGTATAAGCTGTGCTAGTTAGTACGCAAGACCTAAAGCAGTGACTGGATCTCCTTCTATGCTGCTTTTAGTCACAATGACAAGCTGTCACCGCGACTTGAGCGAGTAGTCAGCCCCCACACTCACATAGGGTCAGGCGAGTTTCCGCAGACAAAAAATCACGAAATTTGCATTCATTGGAGTTACTCCCTTGAAAAGAGGGTAAATTACACCTAAGTTAGCTAATCGGGATTGGCAGTTACTCTCAACTACAAGTAGAATGCTAATCCAAGAGGTTTTAGGATTAGATATACCTAGATCAATTAAGTATTTGTAGATTCCTCAGATCTAAGCGACATCTTTGTTCATGTTTAATGTTAAATTGTATTAGTTCTTCAAATTCACTCAGACAGCTGCACCCGGCAAATTTTTTTTCCAGTAATTGTGTGATTCTGGATGCATTGTGCTCTACACCGGTGACAATCAATAGGTGCTTTTACATTTCCCCATGATGCTGCCAAAAGCTCCGCAAATTCTATCATCCTATGCACACTCTATTGTTGTGCCACTGCTGACGACAACCGGTGGAAAACCACCGAGAGACAATGCAAGCATCCACTCCCACTCTCGCCTCTTGCGATACTTTGGGTTTTTAAGAAAAGTACTGAGAAAGGAATGTCTCATGACAAAATTTGAGTGACTGCCGGTGATTGATTACGCAAGCCTTGGGTGCGAGTAGGAAATCAAAAATAGTAATATCCGAAGGCCGGCAGATAAAAAGACTAAGAAGCCATGCCTGACAGCAAAATTAAATTTACTCTAACTATAATTGCAGTTGTGCAGTGAGACAACTACCAGTGTGGAGCCCAAATAACAAATTTGGAGACTAGTTGGAATTTTTCAAAGCCTCGCAGGTAGTTGATTCATTATGGTGCTAATAATTTCAGGGAAGAGGAAACACATGGATATTTATGCCCACTTTTACGCGTTTGGAACTGTGAGTGGGCTATACGCGGCCTCGAGAGGACGGACTACCAAATTGAGCCAACTCTGGCTGCAATGGGACGACGCAAGTTCGCCCGATTTCCTGACTAGTAAGAGACACGTCGCTACGAGCTGCCAAGTAGACGAGAGAACGAAACAGCTCTTATTGCCGCTCCTTTTGCCATCACCTCAGCTGCCACATCGACTCGTGTAGCTTTGAGTGGTGCCACTCCACTAAATTCTATTTTCAGGGTTGTCGGTACCCCGGTGTGGGGGTGGAGTTTAAGCGAGTTCATGCAGATTGCTATAAGATAGGCATATAATGCCGCTGCGTTGCTATGAGAGCTCTCGCAAGTCGTCCTTGAGATGGCCAAGACCTACGCCACTGTAGCGTTGACCTATTATAATGCATTTGTTAATGTTATTTTGGGACTAGTTCCAATGTTCATTTTGATGAAATATACGGGTAAACACGTACGTTGCCGATGCAGTAACTGAAGCCAAAGAAGATGGCAACAGAGCTAGCATCTAGCAAGGAACGAAGTGGATTATCATGCAAACTACAATAGCACTTGACGAAAGGATTCACAGTTTCCGCCAGCGTGCAGT